TGATCATTTCAAAGCACTTTTCATTGTTGTGAGGATAGTGAGAGGAGGGGGTCACTCAGAGAATAAAGGAGATTGGAAAGCAGGTTTTAAAGAAAGCACTAATTTTTTTTTTAGAAGGCGCTAATTTTATCTATGAGTAGCTGGTTCCCATTACCCAAAAATGGGTCTTCAAACCCCAGTGGCCTCCAAAAACCAAAGGTCTCCCAAACTCCAATCCCCACAAACCTCTTGGGAATCAATGCCTGCCCACACCATACCCAAAATACGGGTCACACGGGCCAGCCCGGTTCACTCTAGTATTGAGTTTTCCAGGGGAACTATCACTGGCCTATCTAGACCCAAACCCCACCTCAAACACCCAGACCCCATGACTCTAAGTGACCACTGGAAATCCCCAAAGACAACCACCAAAATCTGTTCCAAGTACTGATCTCACTCCAAGGTCACCCCATTAACTGACCACCCCAATGACTCTGCAATCACTGACCTCCCAAAGGATGCGCTAATCATTTACCTTCCACAGGGACCCCAGATCACTGACCTTCCCTGAAGGTGCCCCAAACACTGGTCCCCTCTCCAAGGACACCACAATCACTAACATCCCAAGTTCCTCCCAATCACTGACTTTCCCCCAGGGGCCCAAGGACACCCAATCACTGGCCTTCCACAACGTCAATCAAATCACTGACAACCCACAATTGTCCTAATTACTGACTTCTCCCCCAAGGAGTCCCAATCACTGATCTCCCTCTGAGAATGCTTGAGTCACTGACATTCCCCCAAGCCATCCCAAGAACTGACCTTCCCCCAGAAGACCTGAAGCACTGACGTACTTTCAGTGACACCCCAATTACTGACCTCCCACCACGTACCCTCAATCAATGATCTTTCCCCGTAGGCCACCCCATCCCTGACCTATCCCTACCAAGAACATAACAATCCCTGACCCACCTCTAGATCACACCAATCACTGATCTGCCTCCAAGACCGCCCCAGTCACTGACCTCCTCCCAAAGGCGCACTAAGCACTAACCACCTTCTGAAGGTACCATAATCTCAGACCATCCCTAGTCTGGCGCCATTCCTGACCGTCCCTCTCCCTCAGTCAAGGAATTATCCCCCTCCCCCAAGGGCTTTCTCCTCTCAGACTCCTCATAGCCCTCCTCCATCGCTAACTCCAGATGTGCACAAACTTCCACAAACCTAGTTCAACCTGATTCTGCTACCAGAACGCAAAACTCAGACTAGTTAAAAGATCCTTCGCGTACCAGCTAGGTTGAAATAGCCCCGGTCCATTATTTCCGCTTTAGATTCACTAACTTTGCTGCCCCACCTCACTTGTCAAACTTAACCTCTGTAGCATCCGAGTCTGCAGGCTGCCAACTACCACCCCAGGGCTTCCAGATATGGGGCTTCCACTCGGCTTTTGGGTTTTTTTTAGACAAAGACCCTATAAGACAGTACGGCCGCGCCCTTTCAGCTGATTTAAGTGGGAGCCGCCATCTTGGAAGATAAGCCGTACAACCTTTTTTTGCGACCCAAGGTAGCAATGAGTCGGAATCCACTCGATCGCAACGGTTTGGTTTGTTTTTCAAGTAGCTTCATTTTTGTAGGCGTTGACTCCATCGCAAGTGTCGCAAAAAGCGATGCGCTTGCTTTACGCCGTCTCCGCGGACTGCGTGTCCAATCCCCTTCAGTATGACGAAAGAAGCCCAAAGATGGCCGCCTTCATCGTGCGGCTTGTACGAATGAAGCCGTAAAGCAATACAATGGGCGCGGTCGTCTTAAAGAAATTGTACACATCTGTACAATAAATGGAACTGTCCTTTAGGGAGTGGGGAGCAGGGGACGGGGTACCTCCGCGAATGCGTCTAGAGAACAGTAGAGGCTTTGGAGCAGCCAGTTAGTGCGAGGGAAGCAGCATGCCTCACTGGAGTCATAGAGAAGGCAGAGAGCTCCAGGGGGATTAGGAGTTGAGTGACATCAACTGACTGAAGGATAAAAGGAATAAAACCCTTTGCCAACGAGTGATTCCGACTCATAGTTGACCCTATAGGACAGAGTAGAACTACCCCATAGGGTTTCCAAGGAGCGGCTGGTGGATTCATACTGCCGACCATTTGGTTAGCAGCCATAGCTCTTAACCACTATACCACCAAGGAATATTAGGGGGGAACTAGTAGTGGGCAGGGCTTTGCTGTTGACCAAGGTGGTGGTGTTGTGTGCCATTAACTCATATGGAGCCCTGGTGGCATAGTGATTAAGAGGTTGGCTGCTAACCAGTAGGTCAGCAGCTCGAATCCACCAGCCTCTCGTTGGAAATTATGGGGAAGTCACAGTGAGTTGGAATCTACTCGATGGCAACAGGTTTGGTTTGCTTTTTGGTCAACTCACAAGCGACCCTGTAGGACAGAGTAGAACTGCCCGATGGGGTTTCAAACCCTAGGCTGTAATCTTTACGAGAGCAGAATCCAGGTCTTTCTATTGCGGAGCCTCTGGTGGATTCCACGGTTGACTTTTCGGTTGGCAACAGAATTAACCATTGGGCCAACAGGGCTCCTTGTTGACCAAGAAGGTAGGTGGTGGCATCCAGGGAATGAAAGACCAGAAAGTGTTTGTTGAAATTTCAGTAGGTTTTATCTTATGGGCCCTCAAATCAAATGTTTTCACAAAGATAATTTCTACGAAATAAATTCTTAGAATTTGAATTGCTGAGTCAAAGAGAATGAAAAATTTGAATTGGAGAGACAATTCCAAATTATTGTCCAAAAATATCCTATTAATGAATACAATTTACATGCTGATATCCACCCTCTCCACAAAGATGTCCACATAAAACTAATAGCTAGTACTTGTTAAGTGTATGCACGTGTTTTAAACAGGGATTTATGCCATGCTTGATAACTGAATTATCACATTTAATACTCTCAAAAGCTGTAGATGGTGGACATTAATATTACCCTTCCTTTGCATATAAAAAAACAAACACAACATACTTAGAAAGGCTGTCTTTTAGAATGCCTATTTCCTCATAACCTCACCAGTCTTTTAATCTTTGCCGTTCTTAAGGGTAAAAAAAAAAAATTAGATTTCTTATCGTATAAATTGCTTGTTCATTCATTTCAGTTAATTTTTCTATTTTATGTTATCTTTTTCTTAATCATTTTAGGATCTCTTTATATATGTGAATTTTTGTACCTGTTAATTCTTTTCCTTTCTCTTTTTATAGGCTAGAACATTCAGACTCATTTGAATTATAACAATGATCTTTTGTATCCTGCTCGTATTTCTGATTTTGTTAGTTTGCTTTAATTTAAGCAGATTGTAGCGACCCCATGTGTTTCAGATTAGAACTGTACTTCATTTGTTTTTATTTATTTTTGTGAAGTTTTACAAATGTAAGGAGTCCTGGTTGCGCAATGGTTAAGCCCTCGGCTGCAGTGATGTCACTAGCGTTGGTGTCTCTCAGCATAGTAACTCACGGTGTCACCCCGCCCCTCCATGGACCTCCTCCTGTACCAGACCGTTCAGAATTCCTGCAGTAGCAACGAAAACAACAGCCTGTGCTTGTAGCTTGTGCAGACGAAACCACGTGATTCAAAGTTTCACTGTAACTGGGTAATAACAACAGCTCTGACCCTAGCGCATTAGAAGGTTCAAGAAGTAAATTAGCATAGAGTTTTAGTCTTGTTGGTACACTGATGCACGTAAGCTGTGCTTACGAAAAATGTTTTTGTTGTTATAACTGCAGTTATTTTTATAAAAAATAATTTCTGTGGAAACACTGCACAATAATTTTATAGGCAATCATTTTAGTGTCACCTAATCTGACAGTGTCACCTGCTGTGGTCTGCATCCCCCCTCAAACCCTAGTGATGCCACCACTTGGCTGCTAACCAAGAGGTGGGCAGTTCGAACCCACCAGCAGCTCTGCTGGAGAAAAGACTTGGTTATCTGTTCTGGTAAAGATTTCGGCCTAGGAAACCCTATGGGGCAGTGTACTCTGTCGCTATGAGTCAGAATCGACTGGACAGCAATGGGTAGGAGTTGGAATCGACTCAACAGCACACAACAACATTTTAAGGTATAGAATATAGCAGACACGCATGGATCCTCTGCTCAGACTTAACAGATATTAACATTATGCCACATTTCCTTCAGACTTCTGTCTCTCAATGAAATATTACACATACAATTATGACAATATTACACATACAATTATGACAATCCCTGCCCCCAACACCCCAACCATTACTCTGATATTTTTGCAGTGTAGATTAGTCTTGCCTCTTCTAGAATTACATATAAATGGAATCGTATATTTGAATAAAAGTGCTCTGAACGTTCTTGTACAAGTCTTTGTGAGAAAATATCTTTTCATTAATTTTGAATAAATACCTAGGAGTCGGATTGTTGCATCATAGGGTTCTAGGCTTTATTTTGCAATTCTCTTCGGTGTAGGAGACAAATAGCTTTGCGAGGCTTTTTATTATAAGTAACATGCTTATAGTGATAATAAAATTTTCGGTTTTAGGCATTGCTTACAGATTTTTTTCATGAAGGAGTCTGCACAACAACTCTTACATACACGAACACTCCACTCTACACAGGCATTTCCTTTTTCCCATTTTTCCAATAGAGTTATAATTTTGCTTGGATCAGATTTAGTGTTTACATTATCTTGACTATGTAAATACTACCCACAGCTCAGCCATGTAGTATACTATGATTATTTTTCCTTGCCCAACAGTTTATTCTCCCTGGAATTCTTATTTATTCATTTCAGAATTCCTGGCCCTTGATGGTCATATAGACACTACTCCCACCCCCTTATATTGGCTCCACCCCTGGTAGAAGGGAAACCTCCTTCCCTACGTGAAGAAAATCCCGCCTTTGTCTCTGGATTCCCTCTACACATTGGCTGATGATTAGTCTTCTCACCTGTAAGTACTATGTCCCATCCCCAGGGGCAGCCTAGGCTCCTCCCCGTCGCTGTTTTTTATTTCCCTTTGAGGGTGTGAACGCTATAACCCCTGCCGTCACAGCTTCTCCAAACCCTTTTCTGCCCTCAAAGGTTTCTTCCTCCACGCCACTTTCAGCCAGACGTGTTTCCGGGGTATTCGCCTATCGGCCGTTCGTTCGCCTTTCCCTCCCCGGGAAAGCGTTTTCTTTTGTACGGACACGAGAACTTCAAAGATGGCCACGCCCGCTATGTTGTTTCCAATCTTATTTTGTACGAAGTGGATAATACCACGGCCATCTTAGCTTTTCTCCGTAGCCCACTGAGGTGGACGTAGCCCGCGCCTATGTTTGATTTGTGTAAGCTCGAACCTTTGAAAATTTTTGCAATTTGCGCGGCATCGTTGGTGAAACTTCCAGCCTCGCGGCGAAGGGGTTAAGGTGCCATGATTTGAAAATTTTTGCAATTTGCGCGGCATCGTTGGTGAAACTTCCAGCCTCGCGGCGAAGGGGTTAAGGTGCCATGAAATGGAGTAGTTTCGGTGGCTCTTCATCGCTCCGTGACATCCCTGGCTACTGAGGCAAGTACAGGCACACTATCTCTTGTACGTCAGTATTGAAAGATGGCCGCCCCCAAGGAGCCAAGGCGAGGAGGGCGCGGTCTTATTACCTCATTCGGAAATGCCGGATATCCAATTGTCCTTGTTCCTAGACACACCTGTCGCTCTCATCCGCCGCGGTAGACTGGCTCCGAGAGTAACCAGCGGGCAGAAGTGGAAAAATTCACGAAGTGCGTGCGGCCTCCGGGAGGTCGCAGTGGGGTCACGAGAGAATCAGGTCAGTCCGTGGAACAGGTTAAGGGGGTAGGGTGGAACCGTTGGGTAGCACGTGGGTTCCCTGACGTGGATGTCTGTAGCTGGGATGCTTTGGGTTCTAGTGGTCGATGATTAAAGGTCTGTCGAAATCAATGACTGAGAGTCCCGTGGCCTTTTCGGGTCACTCTGTAGGGCTCAATGATTGAGAACTGGGGAAGGGGTGGTGATTGTCAGTGAAAGCGATGTCTGGATTAAATATGCGACGAGTCGAGGGGTTATGCTCAGCGTATGAGGGTGTATCGTCCATCTTTCGGAATTAATACGAGGGAGAGGTGGGATCAGCGTTTGGGGAGACCCAGGGGTGTGTCAAATGGTTGAGAGGCTTGTGAGGGCTGAAGCTTTAGAGGCCCAGGCACCCTGGTTGAGTTGGTTGAGGCTCAAACTTTGGCTGCAAGCGAACGTTACATTCCTTCCCAGTCTTTCCAGACCAAATCCCTCTTCAGGGACTGGTTTGAAAATCTCTTGGCTTCCTACATCTCTCATTCATCTCGTCCCCTCCGATATCAAAGTTTTGAGGAAGATCAAAAAGTAAACAAATCTAGAGGGTAAGCTTTCCGTTAAATTAAAGGTGAGAATTTTGTCGTTCTGCAGGTTAGCTGTATAAATGTATGCGTAAACAGTTTATGGTTTGTTTTTTTTTAAAGTATTTTCAGGTTCATTCTGACACAAGTAAAAAAGCAAAATAACATCTCTATTACCTCAAATTCTGTTCTCCAATAATAACTTTTATTAAAATTTTTGTATATTTCAATTTGGGTTTTGGTTTTTCTATGCTTGATTTTCATAATTCAATTTAACTCCTGAAACCTTGGTATAATTTATTCTTCCAGTTTATTTCATATCATAAATTGTTTAAAAAAGGTTTTTTTTTCAATTTGCAGTAGTATGCCACCAAGAGGCAAACCCACGGCATTGTGACTAAAATCACATTAAATATATGCATACGTTTAGATAAATATAAGTACTTTTTAAAAATTAGTTATCAGTGGACCCCTGTGGAGCAGTGGTTAAGAGCTCTGCTGCTAACTAAAAAGTCGGCAGTTCGAATCCACTGGCTGTTCCTTGGAAACCCTACGGAACAGTTCTACTCTGTCCTATAGGGTCACTACGAGTCGGAATCGAATCTATGGCAATGGGTTTATCAAGAACAGGCTATAAATCTGCATTCACCTAAGGGTGTTTTTTCCTGTTCCTCATCTCTACGCTGATTTTTTTTTTTTTTTTTTTTGCAGTCATAAGTGGGTTTTTTTTTTTTTAACTTTTGACATTTTTGTTCTTTTCATCTAATATGTTATTATACAGAAGAGCAATTACTTTTAGAATATATTGTTTTGCTCACCTCACTGAACTCTTATTATAGCAAGCTTCTCCATCCCCCAACGTTTATTGTGAAAATTTTCAAGCATATAGCAAAGTTTAAAGAATTTTATAGTTGTATATCTGTATGCCTACCATCTACATTTTACCATTAATATTTTATCGTGTTTTGTTTATCGTATATCTTACCATATATATCACTCCTCCACCAATCATTAAACTATCTTTTAAAATTTTTGGTGTATTTCAAAGTTTGTGGTGCAGTATTACTTAATATGGCCCTTCTAGACATAGTCTTGTAACTCCCACCAGATGATTAGGTGGGACTATGCAAATAAGGTGCTTATGGACCACCAGAGGGATTGGATAGCTTGCTAATAATTCAAATAAGGTGCACAGCACCTTGTGGGGGTGGGACCATGCAAATAAGGTATATGGAACCCTAACAAGAGGATTGGTCAGTTTTGCCATACTACTAGGCTTAAAATGAGCCATCTGCCAAAGGGGGACCTGACTACCACCAAGAAGAAGAGACAGGAGCAGAGCGTGTCCTTTGGAACCAGTATACCTGCACTGAGAACCTGGTAGACCCAGGAGACAGAGAGAGAGCTGTAACACCGGAGATGACAAGAAGCAGAGAAATGGTGGCTGCAGAGGCAGCAGAACCAGGAGACCAGCAGGAGATGGAGTGAGAAAGCTGAGTGTCTTCAGACAGGAGGCTTCCTGGCAGAGTAGGGTGCCTCCGGACACTTGTCGGTGGAACTAGGATTGCTGACCTATAGAGCAAGAGAGCTGAGCGCCTCTGGGCCAAGGCTTACTGGTGGAGTGGGGTGCTCCTGGGTACTTACTGATGGAGTTAGAGAGCTTTGTAACTCTTGCCCAAGCAGGATAGAGGTCAAGCTGAGGGGCCAAGGGCCAGAGGGAGGCCTGCTTGCAGGCACGGCTGAGAAGATGCTGTTCCTAATTGAAGAACTGAATCCTGAGTCATTTCTGATCCTGAATTGTAACCTGTTATTTCTCTAATAAACCCTGAAACTGTGAGTACAGTCTGTGAGTTCTGTGTCACCATTGCAACAAAATATTGAGCCCAGCAGAGAAGTAGAGAGTGCTGTGGGAGGGACAGCTGGTGTCAGAATTGGTAAAAGGGTTGGAGACAGGACATATGTCTGATCTCCAGCTCATAGGAATCAGCTTTGGGCTGTTGATCTTGACTCTCCTTCCCCCTTGTGAAGTTAGAGGAGGTCAGACACCTCTGTCATGCGATTTTTTACAGTTTGAAAAGTCTGTTCCTTTCCCCATTGAGTGGTGTTGGCACCCTTGTGAAAAACCATTTGACCGTAGAAATATGAGCTTATTTCCTGACTCTCAGTTCTATTCCAAAAGTGTATTAAATGGTTCCCAGGGACTGGGGGGCTAGGAGAAGTGGGGAGTTATTGCTGAAGGGGCACTGAATTTCTCTCTGCGGTAATGAAAAACTTACAAAAATAGATAGTAGAACAACATGGTGAATGTAGTTGATGTTACTGAATTGTACACTTAAAAATGGTTGAAATGGCAAACTTTTTGTTGTATATATTTTATCACAATAAAATTAAAAATTTACATATTTACTTTTCAGCCACGGGTCCTGGCTCCAAGAGCACGACACATCAAGGAAAGTAAGGTGGAGGTTCCAGGACTTGTATATCTTCATTTATGGGGACAACCTTGACTGGAGGCTGAGATCTTTAACCAGAAATTTAGGGCAAATCAAGAGAGACTAAAAACACACTATCCTAGTTACTGGCAATCTCATGATAACAGAAGAAAATGATCAAGAACCAGGTGACTTTTGGTTTGTTTTACTCTTAATTTTACTCTATGATTGATTTGTAGAAAACTTTAAAAGTCAGTTCATTTAAATGGAAAAGTATCCACTGGTAAAGCAGGATTTGTGGAGAAGTAAATTTACATACTAACTTCAACATCAAGGCAAAGTAGGATCAGGAATATACTGTAGTGGGGTTTACATTAACTTTACCCAAAGAATTTCTCTTTGCCCTTGGTTTCTGAGACAAAAAAAGAAAAACAAAACAACAAACCAAATCCATTGCCATAGAGTCAATTCTGTCTCAGCGACCCTGTAGAACAGAGCAGAATTGCCCCATAGGATTTCCAGGGAGTGACTGATAGATTCAAACTGCTGACCTTTTGGTTAGCAGCTGAGCTCTTAACCACTGTGCCAATTTCATAAAAAAGAAATTGGAATTTAAGTATCTTCAATAAGGACTCCAGACCACACCTAACTAACAGGTTACAGAAGTAAGTGTATTGTGTGGATTCCCCAACTTGCAGCTGGCATCTGCCTGTTGGGCAATCTGAAGGATGGTGTCCTTTTAACTTGTGAGATCTGACCTAGCTCCGGGTGGCTGTTGTTGTTGTTAGGTGCCATTGGGTCAATTTCCACTCATAGCAACCCTATGTCACAGAAGAGAACTGCCCCATAGGCTGTTCTTAGCTATAATCTTTATGGAAGCAGATCACCAGGTCTTTCTCCCATGGAGCTGCTGGATGGATTGAACTGCCAACCTTTCAGTTAGCAGCTGAACGTTTAACCATTTGCACCACCAGGCCTAGCGTCAGAGAAAGAAGCGCTGCATGGGTGGCTGGTGTCAGCACTGAACAGAGACATGAAATGTGGGGACTTGTTATATCCTCATAGTTGAGGATAGAGTAGTGGGATTCTGAGATTTCCCCATGATGCAGTTGTTCATAGGGTTTGCCCTAAATGACGAATCTTGGAATATAATGTGTGACTGGTACATCCTGTGAGTTACATTAGCTGTCCACTTCCATGTAATATCTCTGACAACATCAGAACTATAGACTCCTAACATGTCACATGCTTTGAACTGATTCTGAGGAGAAAGCAAATTAATTCCTCGGAGAATGTCAATATTCCATCGCACTTCAGTTTCAGATTTCTTTGATAGTTCCTCCTAGAGGTGATGTGGTGGATGGTGTCCTTCTCATAAATGTAAAATGAGGCTTCCTACACCTGTTTTTTCCAGGGTTCCTCAGATACCCCTGTGGGAATAGGCCAAGAGAACTCAGTTGACACATTTCTTCACGGGACCATAGCCAGGTGACCCATGGACCCAGGCTTGTGACAGTCAGGGTTAATTTAGGAATAAAGCCTGAATGGTCTAAGGGAAATGGAAGGATTGCATAATTTTCAAAGGTCCTGTATAAAGAGTAGCCAAATTGGTGTAAAATGGTAGTAACAATTGTAGTAGCATCAGAACCTGTCTAACGTCATTGGGGATAATGACCAGGATCAGCCTAAAGCTGATTCCCATGAGGTGGAGGTCAGACATACCTCCATCCTCCCACGTTTTTACCAGTTGTGACACTAACCATCCTCCCCATGGCACTTTACTTTCCTAGGTTTGATAATCTGTTGCAATGGCCACAAAGACCTCACAGACCATACTTATAGTTAAGTGGTTTATTAAGGAAGTAATGGTACAACTCAGGATCAGGATCAACAGGCTACAACTCAGGATCAGGAAGCATGTAGGCAAAGTCTCCCTTCTTCAGTGCAGGACAGCTCTCTCATCTTCTCTCAGCCATGCAGGGCTCCTTGTGGGGACAAGCCTCTTCTCGGGCCCTTCACGACAGGCTTCCCTTGGCCTTGCTGTCTGTCACCATTCACTCTACCACAGGGGCCCTTCTGGGCCTGTTGCCACCGGCTGTGCTGCTGGGCCCCATCTTTGCCTCTTGCTGTTTTCAGTATCACAGCCCTTGACCTGTGTTACAGCTCTTTTAGGAGGTTCCTTGCCTTCTCTCTCTCTGCTGCTTCTTTCATCTGCTTCTTCCTGCTGCTTCTCTTCCTGCTTCTGTCTGTCTTTGAAACCTCTATAGGGTTGGCTGCTTGTATCTACAAACGCCTTGTCAATTTCAAGGCATGGCCCTCCCACCAGGGCCACAAACTGACCAAGCATCTCTCGGTAGGCCACAGACACTTCATTTGCATAGTCTGTGGTCATTTCATTTGCATAGTCTGTTGACCAATCCCTGCAAGGTGCATATGAATCACAGGGCAGCTGCAGCTCAGGGCCAGACAAAACATCAAACCAAGTTGTTTACAGCTTACTCAGGAAGTGTAACAAACCCTCTGGGGTAGAAAACTAGGGCTAAGGTAACTCCTCAGGGCTTAGGGGAAAAATCTCTCAAGCTATTTTTCCAAAGAACCAAGGCTAAAGGCCCCATAAAGGAATTCATTTCACCATATCTGGCGTTTGCATACAAATTTGAAGTAAGGGGTTGCTAGTTCTGTCGTCTCGTAAGGGATGGGGATGTTGGGATTCAGAAGGTTCGCTTTTCAAGTGTTCTCTATATCAGATAGTACAAGGTCCTTCCCCATGTTATAATCCAATTCTTAACCTCCCACCTATTTTATTGCCTTTTTTACTTAGTTATACAAATGAACATGGATGCATTTTAAAGGTGAAATACTCCGGTGATAACAAAGTACATGTAGTACACAGGTATTGGCTGTGAAGACTCATGGTCGTTATAGGAACACATTATTTATTGTGATGTCACTAGACTATGTTTAAAACGAAAAAAACATGTGCCGTGGAGTCAGTTCTGACTCATGGTGACTCCATGTGTTTCAGGGTAGAACCAGCTCCACAGGGTTTTCAATGGCTGTGATTTTCAGAAGTAGATTGCCAAACCTTTCTTCCGCGGTGCCTCTGGGTGGATTTGAACCACCAGCCTTTTGGTTAGCAACTGAGTGCTTAAATGTTTACACTACCCAGGACTCCCAGAATATGTTTAGTGCCTGGCAAATACATGCTTAAGAATATGTATTACAAATGTTTCTAGGTTAGCAAGAGGATTTAATGACAGCTTATTATGGAAAATTCTCATTTATTGAATGAATGGACGACTGCACAATTACAGAATATTTTTGTGGAATTTTTCCCTCTATCATAATGTATTTAAAAAAACAAAAACAAAAAAAACACTTTGGTATATAGGTGCAGCCTATATGTTGGAAATGAGCAGAACAACTTCCTTCTATGTTTGTCTTAGTTATCTACCAAACCAAAAACCAAACTCACTGCCGTGAAGTTGATTCCGACTCAGCAATCCTATAGGACAGAGTAGAACTGCCCCATAGTGTTTCCAAGGAGCGGCTGGTGGATTTGAACTGCTGACCTTTTGGTTAGCAGCCAACCTCTTAACCACCACACCACCAGGGCTCTTCTTAGTTAACTAGTGGTGCTATAACAGAAATACCACAAATGGATGGCTTTAACAAACATAAATTTTATTTTCTCACAGTTTAGGAGGCTAGAAGTCCCAATTCAAGGTGCTGGCTCTAGGGCAAGGCTTTCTCTGCCTTTTGGCTCTGGAGGAAGGTCCTTGTCTATTTAGCTTTTGCTTCCTGGTTCCTTGGAGATCTCTACGTGTGTTGGCATCTACCTTACCCCATCTCTGCTTCTAGCTTTTGTCTTTTAAGAGCCTGGCTAGTAATTGAAAGGTTGGTGGTTTGAACCCACCAGCCACTCCATGGGAGAAAGATGTGGCAGTCTACTTGCATGAAGATTTACAGCCTTGGAAACCCTATGGGGCAGTTCTACTCTGTCCTATAGGGTCACTGTGAGTCAGAATCGATTCGACAGCAACAGGTTTTATGTCTCAAAAGAAATTGACCAAAGATACACCCTATGCTAATCCTGCCTCATTGTCTTAACAAAGACAACCCATTCCCAAATGGGATTATAACCACGGGCATAGAGGTTAGGATTTACAACACAGTTTTGGAGGACAGGTGGCACAGTGGTTAAGAGCTCAGGCTGCTAACCAAAAGTTTCCACCAGCCTCTCCTTGGAGACCCTATGGGGCAGTTCTATTCTGTCCTATAGGGTCGCTGTGAGTTGGAATCAACTTGACAGCAACAGGTTTTTGTAATTCAGTCTGTAACAGTATAAATAAAAGAGAAACAATTCATATTAAACAGGACCCTGTTATTATAGGAATCACTGACGTACAGGGATGTGGCTGTGGATTTCACCTGGGAGGAGTGGCAGCTCCTGGACACTGCTCAGAAGGACCTGTACAGGGATGTGATGTTGGAGAACTTTAGCAACCTGGTGTCAGTGGGTGAGGACAGCTCCCCTGTGTCACTCAGAATGCTCTGTCAGTGACCTTTCCTTTCTCAGTTTTTGAAAGCTTTGGAATATCTGTAATGTTCTAAAATGGTAGCTTCTCATTCCCCTCTCTGGCCCCAGATAAGAGGATATAATGTGCCCTCTCCTGAGAGAAAAGCCTTTATTTTGCAGACCTGCAAATTGCATAGTTCCGAAAATATAACATTCTCCCATGTTGACAGACTGCAGCCCAGTTTGGTGAGCCTAAGTCTTCTGTCATTTCCCATGAACAGGGTTTCAAGCTGGCAAGCCAGATGCACTCTCCAAGCTGGAACGAGGAGAAGAACCATGGACAGTAGAAGATGAAATCCAAAGACAAGCCCGTTCAGGTGAGTAATAAGAACTGGCAAAGTGGGTGGCTGAGGAAGTCATATTTTAGTCCTTCAGAGAAGGTGTCCCAGCTGTGAGGGTATCTGAGGATACACAAACAGTGTCTTCATGGATCCCTCTCACCTTACAAAAGCTCTTTTTCTTTTAGATATTTAGAGGAAAATATGCCCTTTTATCTCTTTCTGGATTTCATCCCTGTTTATTGCATCTGTTGGTGTTGTTGTTGAGTAGATTTCAACTTATGGTGACCCCACGTGTGCAGAGTGGAACTGCTCCGTAGGGTTTTCAGAAGCAGACCACCAGGCGTGTTTTCCGAGGAGCCTCTGGGTGTGTTTGAACTGTCAACCTTTCAGCTGGTAGTTGAGCACGTAACTGTTTCTGCCACCCAGGGACTCCTTTTTGCATCTAGGTGTTCTTGATTTTTTCCCTAGGTTTCTTATTCCTAGGATTCTGAAATCTTACACCATTCTTTCCCTGTTAGAGTATGACTGCCTCTTCTTCCTCAATTTCTGTGAAATTCCACCTTCCATGCCTCTCTTCAAAGAGACATTTTTTATTTCAACGCTCTCTTCTGACTACTGCATTTCCTCCTACCATTGGCTAATTCGATTTCCTTTCCTAACATTCAACCCTCTGTTGGAGACTGTGCCCCCCACAGGAACCTGTTTTATTCTTGTGCACTTATCTGGTTCCTGGCTTCTCTTTTTTCTCCTATGAGGTCCTCTAAAGATTCTGTTTGCCATTTTTTGCTCTGTTCTTATATCCCTTAAAAAACTTCCTTCATTTTAATAAGCTCTTGTTCTCTGGGAACTCATAAGTTATCATCTCCCTTAATACTGTGTAACCAACATGCTCGTAACATATGTATTACTCTTCTGTATGACAATTTCCCAACAAGTCCCCACTTCCCTGTGGGAAGAACCACAATCATCTTCCTTTTGAGAAAACCTGTTCCTTCCAACCTTTTAAAAATGTTGTTCCTTTTCTATAATTGTACATCACATATTCTGGCCACAGTAGAGTTACCTGGAAACTTCCTTTCCTCTTCAGATCCGTCATTTAAAGTCTTTGCTAGTCCTGTTGATTTTTAAAAATTTCTCCTTCTCAGTTCCCAGCCCAGAGCAGATCATGAAACCTTATGCCTGCTTTGCTTTAATCCTTTGTTGTTGTTAGGTGCCGTCAAGTTGATTTTGACTCATGGGGACCTCAGGTGATACAGAGTACAGCTGCCCTACAGGGTTTTCTAGAGTGTAATCTTAACGGGAGGAGGTCTTCAGGTCTTTATCCTGCAGAGTCGCTGTGTGGGTTCCAACTGCCAGTCTTTCAGTTAGTAGCTGTAAAAATGGCATGGCGCGGGTGTCTGCCCTCTAACTTCACAAGGGGGAAGGAGAATCAAGATCAACAGGCCAAGGCTGATTCCTAGAAGGCAGAGGTCAAACATACCTCCACCCTCCAACTTTTATCAATTCTGACTCTAAGCTGTCCCTTCCATGACACCCTCTACTTCTCTGCTAGGTTCAATAATTCGTTGCAGTGGCCACACAGAACTCACAGGCAATACTCACAATTATGGGGTTTATTAGGGAAGTAACAGGTTACAATTCAGGTTCAGGAATGCTTGGGATACTGTTCTTCCATCAGGACAGCTTCTTTTCAGCTGTGCCGCAGGCACACCTCTCTGGCTCCTTGGCCTCTGTCCTGCTCAGACAAGTGTTACAGAGCTCTTTTAGCTCTGCCAATAAAGGCCCGAAGGTGCCCTACTCAACCAGTTAAGCCTCGGCCTGAAGGCACTCAGTTCTATTGCTTCATGGGTTGATGAGCCGCCAAGTACCCAGAGGCACCCTATTCTGCCAGGAAGCCTTCTGCCTGAAGGTGCTAGCTTTCTCTCACCATGGGCCGGGAAGCCTACTGCAACATCTCCTGAGAGTTTCCTGCCAGTCTCCTGATTCTGCTACCTCTGCTGCTGCCATTTCTCTGCCTCTGCTTCTCCTTGTCTCTCGTGTTACACCTCTCCCTCTCTGTCCTGGTTCTGCTGCCTCTTTATGATTTCCATGGTACAGCTCCTCTTTCTCTCTCTTTCTGTCTTCTGTTAAGCCTAGTGGGATGGCAAAACTGACCAATCCCCTAGTTAGGGTTCCATCACCTTATTTGTGTGGTCCCACCCCTACAAGGGTGCTATGCACCTTATTTATATTATTAGCAAGCTATCCAGTCCCCTTACTGGGCTATAAGCACCTCATTTGAATAGCCTCACCCCATCATTTGGTAAGAGTTACAAAGACTGTGGCTAGAAGGGCCATAATAAGTAATTCATTGTGCTAGAATAACCAAGCACTTAACCATTGCACCACCAAGCTCCTTAATTCCTTCCTAAACAGGTAGTCCCCAACTTATGACGTATTCAAGTTACTACGAGCTGCAGTTAGGACCGGCCTTTTTTTTTTGTACATCTTATCAGTAGTAATATGTACTACATTCAGTGTTGCAGCACGTAATATCATTCTCAGATGTTAGGTGTTCAATATTATGATTTAAGAAGATACTGATAATAAAAGACAATAATAACAAAAAGTAAAAAAAATGAGGTATTTGACTTACGTCAGAACCAACTTAACGACATTGGAATGGAACCCGATCGTAAGTTGGGGACTACCTGTAATCATTAGTTCTTGTAGTTCATCTTAATTGATATTGCTGGATTCATTCCCATAGAACTTTCCTTTTCCTTAGCATATTCCGATGACATCAAGTCCCAGTTAATCATATTACCTCTGGTATATGATGGAAATTTCTCTTCTGTCAAGAATCTACAAGATATGGCATCATCTTGGCATCATTTTCCTGACCTCTCTGACCTTGGTAGAGAGGGTGAGTCTTGGTCAGTTTCTGAATATATTTATAAAGGAGGCCAGATGGTCTGATGGGCTTTGCCATGGAAGTAGATAAAGGATGTGAAAGAAAAATACAAATGAAGGGGGATGGTAAGATTTTTGTCATAAGTCCCGGGAGGAGTTGCCATTTACTAAGGAGAAGATGTATGGAGGAGATGTGGGTTGGGAAATCAGGAATTAGGTTTTGGATGTTATAATTTAGACATACATATTTGCATCCACACGGAGCTCTCTGCTGTAGCTGGATGTACCAGAGGAGTTGAGGGAGAGTTTAGGACTTGAGATAGAAATTTGGACTGGATGAGCTCTTCTAGGGAGTACAGATAAAGAAAGGAAGAGTCTTAGACAATAGAGATGAAAAAGATATGTATGCGTTAAATGCATGGTGTCTTAGTTCCTTAGTGCTGCTATAACAGAAATACCACAAGTAGGTGGCTTTAACGAACAGAAATTTACTTCCTCACACTTTAGGAGGTTAGAAGTCTGAATTCAGGGCACCAGTTCTAGGGCAAGGTTCTTTCTTTGCCAGCTCTGGGGGAAGAGCTCTTTCAGTTTCTGTAGACCCAGAGTTCCTTGGTTCCTTGGAGATCACCACTTGGCATCTACTACCCCCTCCCTTTGTGCTTGCTTTTCTGTGCCTAATATCTCAAACGTGATTAGGTTTAAGACACACCACTAACATGGCCTCATTAACTATGAAAATGGCATGACGGGGCGTCTAACCTCCTCTAACTTCACAAGGGGGAAGCAGAATCAAAATCAACAGCCCAAGCCTGCTTACTCTGAGGCGGAGGTCAAACATACGTCCACCCTCCAACCTATTTTCCAATTCTGACACCAAGTGTCCCTCCTATGGAACTCTCTACTTCTCTTCTGGGTTCAATAATTCATTGCAATGGCTACACAGAGCTCACAGACGATACTCACGATTATGGGGTTTATTAGGTAAACAGCAGGTTACAATTCAGGTTCAGGAATGACTCAGGATACAGCTCTTCTATCAGGAGCCTTTTCTTAGCTGTGCCCATAGGCACGCCTTTCTCTGGCCCCTTACCCTCTTGGCCCTCTGCCTGGCCTCTGCCCTGCTCGGGAAAGTGTTACAGTGTTCTTTTAGCTCTGCCAATAAGTGTACCAAGGCACCCTACTCCACCAGTGAGCCTCGGCCCAAAGGTGCTCAGCTCTAGCTCTGTGGGTCAGCAAATCTAGCTCCACCAAGTGCTCAGAGGCACCCTCCTCCTCCAGCAAGCCTGCTGCCCAAAAGCACTCAGCTTTCTCACTCCATGGGCTGGGAAGCCCACTGCGCTGTCTCCTGCCGCCATTTTTCAGCCACCTCTTCTTGCCACCTTCAGTGTTACAGCTCTCTCTCTCTTTCATGGTCTCTTAGTTCCAGGAGCTTCTCAGCATAGGGATCCCAGGTCCAAAGGATGCACTTCGTTCCTGTCTTTTTGTACTTGGCAGTGGTGAGATCCTCTCCTCCCACCCCTGAGATGGCTCATTTTAAGCCTGGTAGGATGGCAAAACTGACCAATCCCTTTGGTGGGCCACAATTACCTTATTTGCATAGTCCCGCCTAGTCAGTTGGTCAGGAGTTACAAGACCATGGCAAGAAAAGCCACCCAAAAATTCATCACACCACACTAATAAACCTCATAATCTTGAGTACTGTCTGAGTTCTAGGTTGCCATTGCAATAAATTATTGAACTAAACAGAAATAAACAGTGCCATGGGAGTGACAGTTGGTGTTAGAATTGGTAAAAAGGTTGGAGAGAAGAGGTATATCTGACCTCTGCCTCATAGGAATCAGCCTTGGGCTGTTGGTCTTAATTCTCCTTCCCCCTTGTGAAGTTTGAGGAGGTCAGACACTGCCCCATACCATTTTTACACCACTTGACCCTACTTGGTGAACCACAGTCCTAATATGTGCTAGAAAAGGTTGAATTTAGTCAGAAATAAAGGAATACCTTCCAGCAGTAAAGATTTTAGTAGCAAATATAGGATAAATAAGGTCCCTAGAAGGTGCAAACAGTTTACGTTCGACTGCTAACCTAAAGATTGGCAGTTCCAACTCTCCCAGTAGTACTGTGGAAGAAAAGGTCTGGCAGTCTACTTCCATAAAGACTATTGTTGTTGTGTGCTGTTGGGTTGATTCAGACTCGTAGTGACCCTATATAACTGAGTAAAACTATAGGGTTTCCAAGCTGTAATCTTTATGTGAACAATTCACCAGGTCTTTTCTCCTGCGAAGCTACCGTTGAGTTTGAGCTGCCAATCTTTCTGTTAGCAGCCGAGCACTTAACCATCACCAAGGCTTCTTCCATTAAGATTACTGCCAAGAAGACCCTCTCCAGTTGGGGTCGTCATAAGTCAGGATCAACTTGACAGCAACTAACAACGACAGGACATATCTGCATGTGATATATGGAAGTTCAGCTTTTGAACAGGAGGTATTTCTGCTAAATTTCAGGGCTGTATGAAGTTAACTATTAAAATAAGCAGTAGAAATGGTATATTTTAGAAATTTAAGGGAAAGAGCTAAGGGATATACAGAGAGTAGGGAATGATACATGGTATGCAGGAGGCATGTCTAGTATTTACATAAAGAAGATGATGAAGGGCAAAAGTGAAAGTGTAAAGTTGAGGAAGTGCAAGTCTGCACTGTGCAAAGTGAAAAGATCAGCTTGAAGCTGACCACAGGAAGGCCAGTTTAGAAAGTATTTGTAGAGGAAGTAGTGAAGTGGAAACGGGGGTAAATGAGGTAATCATGGTAATGTTAACTTTTATTTCTAGGCTGATTGTTGTGGGCTTTATGTGGTAGTAATTGAGGTAGAATGGTGGGTCTTTAAGTTAATTTTTTTTATTATTCTAGCTATACAGGCAGTCCCCGTTTTACGAACAAGATCCATTCCTAACTGCATCTTTAAGAATTTGTAGTTAAGTCGGGACAGGTGCATATGGTTCTGTAAATATGGCATGGGGACAGCATCTGACCTCCTCTAACTTCACCAGGGGGAAAGGGAATCAAGATCAACAGCCCAAGGCTGATTCCTATGAGGCAAAGGTCAGACATGCCTCCTCTCTCCACCATCTTTACCAGTTCTGACACCAACTGTCCCTCCCATGGAACTCTCTACTTCTCTGCTGAGTTTGATAATACATTGTGATGGCCACACAGAACTCATAAACAGTACTCACAATTATGAGGTTTATTAGGAAAGTAACAGGTTACAATTCAGGTTCAAGAACACTCAGGATACAGTTCTTCCATCAGGACAGCCTCTTCTCAGCCGTGCCCGCAGGTACACCTCTCTCTGGCCCTCAGCTTCTGCCCTGCTTGAGCAAGTCTTACAAAGCTCTTTTAGCTCTGCCAGTAAATGCCTGGAGGCACTCACTGTACCAGCAAGCCTCTTGCCTGAAAGTGCTCACCTATAGCTCCATGGGTCAGCACACCTAGCTCCACCAAGTGCCCAGAGGCAACCTACTGCTCTAGCTCACCACACCGTCTCCTGCCCATCTCTTCTCCCACAGTTTCTTTGCCACTGTTTCTTGCTGTCTTCAGTGTTACAGCTCTCTCTCTTTTGCTCTCTCTCTGTGTCCTGGTTCCAGGAGCTTCTCAGCACAGAGATCTGGAGTCCAAAGGACGTGCACCATTCCTGGGTCTTCTTTCTTGATGGTGGTGAGATCCTCTCCTTTTGCCTCTAGGATGACTCATTTTAAGCTTAGTGGGATGGCAAAACTGACCAATCCCCTCATTAGGTTCCATAGACCTTATTAGCATGGTCCCACCCAATCATTTGGTGGCAGTTACAAAGACTGTGGCTAAAAGGGCCATATTAGCTATCACTTCACCATAAAACCACCACAGGTTCTTATTTAGCCTTACTTTAGTACAAGAAAAGGCTCAAACAGTGATTTAAAAGCCACACGTGTAGGTGATTGTGATGAAGAATTGTGGCCAGGAGGGGTTGGTTCAGTCGTTTCAAAGTGAGGGCAAGTTTACATAACATTAAAGGGCAAGTACGAGTTGGATGTTTGTAACTCAAGGCACCCTACTCTTCCAGCCAGCCTCCTGCCTTAAGGCACTCAGCTTTCTTGCTTTGCAGGCCAGAAAGCCCACTGTGCTGTCTCCTACCAGTTGGCAAAACTGACCAATCCCCTTGGTGGGCCACAATTACCCTATTTGCACAGTTCCACTCAATCACTTGGGTGGGAGTTACAAGACCATGGTGAGAAAGGCCACACAAAAGCAATCCATCACACTGCAGCCACCATTATCACTATCCTTTTCCAAAACATTCTACCACCTTTAACATAAACTCAGTGTCCCCACTCCCCTGCAAAAAAAAACCTCCCCCTTTCCCCTTCCCTCCCACCCTGGTAACCACTAATGATCTTTGGTTTCTGTATATTTGCTTATTTCATGTAAGATCATATAGTACTTGTCCTCTTGTGACTGACTTAACATTTTCAAGATTCATCCATGTTGTGGCATGCATTAGGACTTCATTTCTCTTTACTGCTGCATAATATCCACTGTATGTATATACCGCATTTTGTTTAACCATTCATCTGTTGATGGACATTTCAGTTTCCACTTTTTGTCTATTGTGAAAACCACTGCAATGAACAGTGGTATACAGGTTTCTGTTTGCATTCCTGCCTTCCCTTCTTCTGGGTATGTACCTACAATTGAGATTGTTGGATCATATGGTAATTCTGTGTTCAAGTTTTTGAGGAACCACCAAACTGTTTTCCACAGTGTCTGTACCATTTTACATTGCCACTAGCAATGAATGAGGGTTCCAGTTTTTCTACAACCTTGCCAATACTTATTTTCCATTTCTACATAAATAGTGTTACTTTTCACCTGGGTGGTAGCAAGTATAGCAGTAGTAAAGGATGTCCAGTAGTTCTTAGAATAGTGGAAGGCAAAACTGTTGAGAGTCTTGATCTAGGATGAGCAATGTTATCCTCTAGGACCCCTTAACTAATGGCAACCAAGACATAAATGCTGAATTTTGGAAGAGGATGCTATTAGTGACAAGGTGTGGGCTTGGGGATTATTACATCAGAGATATTGAAATGGGAACAATTCAAATATGACATGTATGCAGGTACAGAATGTGACTGAAAAGTGTGATAGTTCCCTAGCCAGTGAAACAGTATCTACTTCTGAAGATGACTGTGTGGTCCAAATTCCATAAGGATAATTCTTTTTCTATATGGATATAGGAGAATGTGCCACAGCTATATATGTTGGGAGTTTTGGGTACAGTTTTCCTCTAAATGTGAGGTTGATGCTTTGGGAAGTTTGATTGGATGGCGTTCTACAGAATGAAGAATGGCAGCAAAATAGAGCAGCAAGATGACCAGCCAAGAATCTTATCAGTTATCTGCAAATCAAATGCTGAGTTTACAACATTCTGAATTGCCTGTTTGGAATAATTGTTTCTCATATTTGTATCTGCGTATTTTCCTTATCAATGTGGTCAATATTTGGTGTTTCTCAGTGGACTTCTTTTCTAAATCCAAATTGTAAATGTAACGAGCCTTCATTTTCTTTCAATTTACATATTTTTTCAAACACGATCTCATCCAGTCTTCTGTCCTTGTATAATATTTATATAATGATGATTTCCACATTGTTGTCTTCAGTCAAGACCTTTCTCAAGATTTATATATCCAACTGGGTTCTTCATGTCTGTGCTTGAATATCAAATAACCATCTCAAGGTTGATAGGCTTTAAAAGGTACACTTGCTTTCTCACAATATTCTGAATCTCAGTAATATTCCCCATCTCATTAAAATGCACTACCTCCCTATCCAGGAGACCCTGGGTTGTGCAAAAGGTTAAGCTCTCGACTACTAGCTGAAAAGATGGCAGTTTGAACCCGCCCAGAGGCATCTTGGAAGACAGGCCTGGTGATCTGCTTCCAAAAGCTCACAGCCTTGAAAACCCTATGGAGCACAGTTCTCCTTTGTACACATGGGGTTGTTATGAGCTGGAATGGACTTGACGGTAACTAACAACAACAGCAATCCACCTATTCAGTGACTCAAGCCCAATAATTAGAAGTAAGCTTTGACTCCTCATTTTTATTAATTTCCTCATATTGAATACATAAATGAGCTTTGTCTTTTCTTTCTCCAAAATATATCCTAATTTCCTCCATCACTCTCTTCACTACCCCCTGAAACCACTTTTCACAATTTCCAGCTATCTTCATTTATTTCATTGCTTCCTCATTTATTTAATCTTCCCTAACTAGAATGTATGCTCAGTGAAAACATGTTTCTACAACCTTATCACCAGCACAGTGTTTGGTACCTAGTCATAATTTAATAAGGATTTGTGGATGGATGAATGTCTTCCCTTATCATTTTGAAGTAAGTACCCCTCCAACTTCTGTGGTCCAGTACCAACAGTGACTTGATTTTACTTTCTCAACATGTTTTATAAGCTCACATTTAGAAAGCAGCCAAATCTATATTTAATCATTTTGAATGATCTAGCCTCGCTTATACACTGACTGCTTTTACCTTTTGTTTTGTTTGTTTTTATTGTGTTTTACCCCTGTCCAAATAATAAGGAATGTAACTACTTGGAATTTCTTTAAACTGAAGTCATAGGGTTCTCACTAAAAATCCAGTCCACACAAAGCCATTTGTGAAGTAGTATTTTATTCTATACCGTGCTCATGGAACATAACCAGTTGCCGTAGAGTCAATTCTAACTCATGGCAACCGCATGTGTGCCAGAGTAGAACTATGCTCCATAGAATTTTCAATGGACAATTTTTTGGAAATAGATCACAAGGCCTTTATTCTAAGGTGTCTCAGGGTGGACTCAAACCTCCAACTTTTTGACTAGCAGCTGAGCACATTATCTGTTTGCACTACCCAGGGTCTCCATGCTCATGGAAGACTTCATTTTTCTTTTCTTTTCTAGAAATCGAGAAAGTTGATGATTATCTGCAGGGGCACTTGCAAAACCAAAGATGTCTGAAGAGAATGGAACACTGCCAGGGACATAATGTATTTGGAAATATTGTTTATCAGAGGAAAAGTCATTTTCCTTTAAGGCAAAATCATGATATATTTGACTTATGTGGAAAGACATTGAAATCAAATTTATATTTAGTCAACCAGAGCAGAAGCTTTGAAGTAAAGAAGCCTCATAAGGCTAATGGAGGTGGGAAATCCTTTCTCCATACTAAACATGAACAATTTCATCCTGAAATTAAATTTCCTGAATGCGGAAAACCCTTGAACACAAAGTCACAATTCATTAAGCATCAAAGAACTCACAAGATAGATAAACCTCATGTATGCAGTGAATGTGGGAAAGCCTTCATCAAGAAGTCTCGCCTCATTGATCATCTGAGAGTTCATACAGGCGAGAAACCTCATGGATGCAGTGTATGTAGGAAAGCATTCGCCAGAAAGTCCAGGCTCACTGAACATCAGAAAAGTCATATAAGAGAGAAACATTATGCATGCACTGAATGTGACAAAACCTTTCCCAAGAAGTCACAGCTAATTATTCATCAGACAGCTCATACAGGAGAGAAACCGTATGTATGTAATGAGTGTGGAAAAGACTTCGTCAAGAAGTCTCGGCTCATTAATCACCAGAGAGTTCACACAGGAGAGAAACCTCATGGATGTAGTATATGTGAGAAAGCATTCGCCAGAAAGTCCAGGCTCATTGAACATCAGAGAACTCACACTGGAGAGAAACCATATGAATGCACAGAATGTGACAAAGCCTTCCGCTGGAAATCACAGCTCAATGCGCATCAGAAAACTCATACTGGAGAGAAATCTTATATATGCAGTGATTGTGGAAAGGGCTTCATTCAGAAGGGCAATCTCATTGTACATCAGCGAACGCATACTGGAGAGAAACCGTATATATGCAGTGAATGTGGAAAAGGCTTCATCCAGAAGGGCAATCTTCTTATACATCAACGAACTCATACTGGAGAGAAACCATATGTATGTGGTGAATGTGGGAAAGGCTTCAGCCAGAAGACTTGCCTCATATCTCATCAGAGATTTCACACAGGAAAGACTCCCTTTGTATGCACTGAATGTGGAAAATCCTGCTCACACAAGTCAGGTCTCATTAACCATCAGAGAATTCACACAGGAGAGAAACCGTATATATGCAGTGACTGTGGGAAAGCTTTTAGAGATAAGTCGTGCCTCAATAGACATCGGAGAACTCATACAGGAGAGAAACCCTATGGATGCTCTGATTGTGGGAAAGCTTTCTCCCACCTGTCATGCCTTGTTTATCACAAGGGAATGCTGCACGCAAGAGAGAAATGTATCGGTTCAGTCAAGGTGTAAAATTCTTTCTCAAAGAGTCATACCTCCTCACATACAAGTGATCTCATTCAGGAGAAAAACCCTGTTAATACAGTGACTGTGCAGATGCTATCTGCAGTAGCTCAGACATCATTAAACATAGATGGGCCCCTAGCAGATAAGAATATAGTCCTTTTGGGACAGCCTGTTGCCAGATGTTCGCCCTCAAAAGATAATACAATTTGCACAGGAGAGAAACCTTATGAATGCAGTGACTGTGGTAGTGCCTTCAGAGATCAGTTACATCACATTTCATGTCATCAAAAACACACAGGAATAAACTATGATGTATTCAAAGTGGAAAAGCCTTGGTTGATAAGTGCATACTGAGAGAAATCGTGTGAATGCAGAGACTGAGAAAGCTTATTGTGGGAAGATAGACCCTATCCTTGGTGATCATCATAGATCATCAGTGAGCTCATAGTGGGTAGATTTATAATGACCATGGAAAAGCCCCTGCCCAGAAATAAGACTTAAATAGGTATCAGAGAGACGCACAGGAGAGAAACTTGGAAGGCTGTAAATATGGCTGGGTTGTCCATAGTTCATTCTGCCTCATCGATTGTCAGAAGAAATTATATAGAAATGAAACTCTGAGCACATTAATTGAAACATCTTCAGCAAAATATCAGAGAACTCATGAAGAAGAGAATCCCTGTGAAAATTATGTTTTAGAGAAATCTATCACAAGTCTAACCTCATTATATATCAGATAATACACATGATGTTCATTTTAGAACAATATACATCGAATCACACTCCTAGATGCCATGTCAGTGACTGCTATAATTCAAAGGAGGTAGTCTGTGTTTCACATAACTGGTTAAAGTTCTAGCATATAAAATGATCCCCCAGCCTCCTTTTTTGAATGAATCTTCTGTGCCCACTGTGATGCGATGGATCACTTTTATATGCCTTTCTCACCATGGTCTTGTAACTCCCACCAGATGATTGGATGCTTGTTGTTAGGTGCTATCAAGTCAGTTCTAACTCATAGCCACCCTGTGTACAACAGAAGGAAACACTGCCTGGTGCTGCACCATCCTCAACAATCGCTGCTGTTTAAGACCACTGTGTCAGTCTATCTCATTGAGGGTCTTCCTCTTTTATGCTGACCCTCTACTTTACCATACATGATGTTCTCCAGGGACTGGTCCCTCCTGATAACATGTCAAAGTACATAAAATGAAGGCTGGTCATCCTCACTTCTAAGAAGCATTCTGGATGCAATTCTTCTAAGACAGATTTTTCGTTCTTCTGGCAGTCCATGGTATATTCTATATTCTTGAATATTGAATGAACGGGTGAGACTATGCAAATAGGGTGCTTGTGGCGCACCAAGGGGATTGGACTGCTTGCTAATAATGCAGATAGGGTGCATGGCACCCTTGTGGGGGTGGGACCATGCAAATAAGATGTATGGAACCATAACGAGCAGATTGGTCAGTTTTGCCATCCTGCTAGGCTTAAAAAGAGCACCAATCTCAGAGCAGGGGGGACCTCACTACCACTAAGAAGAAAAGGGAGCAGAGCATATCCTTTAGACCTAGGGTCCCTGCACTGAGAACCTCCTAGACCCGGAAAACAGCTGTAACACTGGAGACAGCACAAGGCAGTAATAAGAAGCAGTGGCAGAGAAATGGCAGCAGAACCAGAAGACTGTTATGAGATGGTGCAGTGGGCTTCCCAGCCCATGGAGTTAAGCAACTCCAGTGGGCGTGCTGACCCATAGAGCAAGAGAGCTGGGTGCCTTTGAGCAGGAGGCTTACTGGTGGAGTGGAGTGCCTCCGGTCGCTTGTTGGGGGAGCTAGGCTTGCTGATCCATGATTCATGAAGTGAGAGCTGAGCACCTTTGGGCTGAGGCTTACTGGCAGAGTAGGGTGCCCCTGGGCACTTATTGGCAGAGCTTTGTAACATTTGCCCAAGAAGGGCAGAGGTCAGGCCAAGAGGTTGAGGGCCAGAGACAGGTCTGCCTGCAGGCACCACTGAGAAGCTATCCTGACCGGAGAACTATCCTGAGTCATTCCTGATCCTGAATGTAACTGGTTACTTCCCTAATAAACCCCATAACTGTGAGTATGGTCTGTGAGTTCTGTGTAGCCATTGTAGCAAATTATCGAACCCCGCAGAGAAGCAGAGAGTGCCGTGGGGGGGTCGGCTGGTGTCAGAATTGATGGAAAGTTTGGAGAGAGGAGGCATGTCTGACCTCATTCCTCATAGAAATCAGCCTTGGGCTGAGGTTGATGGTGATTGTCCTTACCCCTCCCCAAGCTAGGTGAGGTCTGTCATCACACCGCCATTTTTACACCTACCCAGGATCATTACATGATTAGCGCTTTGTTTCTTTGCCTCTTAGTTTGTCCAGTTGTTATTTTCAGACTACTGAAGTCCTTCAAAAGGAAACTAAATATATAATTCATTAATGTAATTTAATGTGTTTGGATGTGTTTAAGTTTATAAATAGCACCCAGGGGAAACAGTTCAAAACTCTAAGATAGTGTCCATCCTAGCCTATGGTTTGTCTCGTTGGTATCAACACTCTGAAAACTTTTTTTTTTTATCACTATATCATTTACCTAGTGCTGTTGTAGGAACTGTAGATGGTGACCATGATGAAAACAAAAAGTCCTTTCTCTCTTTGAGCTATGATTTTGTTAGATGAATTATATGCATATAGCATTCCTCCCTCCAGCAAATGAAACAGAGGATGTATACACCTACATTAATTGAAAGGGATAGGCAGTATAAGGATCAAAGTATTTGTGTTTAGAATGAAGGTAGACTTAAGAAATATTAAACATATAATTTTTTGTTCATGAGGCATGTTCTTATTTGGAGGGAAGAAAAGAACTCATCTTAATGTTGCTTACATAAACCAGCACATAAGTAAGTTTTTTTTTTTTAAATTGTCTTATTGCACCAAGCAGATTATAAATTCCATGAGTTTACATATAATTGTGTATTTCCCATCACATAACAAAATAGAAAAAAATTATATGTCAATTTGGAATATGAATGAAGTAGAATGAATGACTTAATGGTCTAGTGAATCAAATCTTTTCATTCAAGGGAAGGAACCATTGGAAAGAAAAAGATCAGTATTGTTAAAAAAAACTTAATCATGAATCATTTCATATCTGTCAGAATATATAAGGAGCGTATCAGAGAAGTCATAGGATCCCCAGAATAAGCCAAATTAAAAATAGTCATGCATCGTTTAATGTCCACAATATGTTTTGTGAAATAGAACGGTATGTGATTTGGATATTGTGCAAACACCACATTATATACAAGCATTCCCTGTACAATCTGTAGTTATGAACCAACCCCCATGAAGCCTATCGTGTTAAAACTTTATGAGAGTCCACTGGACAAAACCTGAGAGCTGTATCCACTGGATACAGGAGGCCAGATGGGGGCTGCAGCAGCACCTGGATTGGGACTTCCTGCTTGACCTGACCAGGGTGGGGGCACACGGGGAGCACGGAGAAGTGTTGTGTGGACCTCAAACACGGCTGGAGGTAACGGCCCTAACTGCCACTGCCCTGTTAGTATGGCTGCTTCCTGATCACATGCAGTCACTGCTGCTGCCTGGAGCCAGCAGCTCGTGAGCACCCCAGGCCAAAACCCTGCCAGCGCCCACAATAGGAGAAGAGGCTCCGAGGCAGGTACTGCCCTGTGCCGGGAGTGAATAGCTGCATGGCTGCTGGGCAGGTGAATGAAGCCAGGAAGAGGGGACTCAGGAGGCTAAGGCGGAGGATGAGGCACTTCAGAGATTCGGATGAGCCCTGGAGCCCTGCTAGTCATTCACTCTGGGGGGTTGGGGTCTTTAAAACCATTAGGGAGAAATAATGGGACCATGGACTTACATGCAGTCAGACGTTTCCCAAACGGAAGTTATGTGCACATGATTACTGAGAATCATGACCTAGCCAAATTGACACATAACATTAACCATCACGTTCTATCCTTTATCAACTTGGCACCTGTACACATTTCCTGAAACCATACATAATCTCTAAATAAAGACAATTATAAAGTCATACTTGTACCTAACATGATAAAACTAACACGCGTACAAGGGAAAACACAGTAGCCCCGTTTACATCTTGTATTTTATTAGTGATAAGGGAGAAAAAAAAAAGTGTGTGTGTATATATATATGCACACATACACTTAAAAAAAGGAAGAAATACTCATAACAATTACAGTCCTCATTTCTGCAAATGGTGGCAGGGTCATAACTTGTATTGAGAACTACCTTCTTCCATTATCCATTCCATATTCCCTTTGCCCTCAACAAGTACCTCATCTGGTGGTGGTTCTTTGCCCAAACCTTTATTCCTGAAGGGTCTGGGCCATTAATAGTCATGTCAGAATTGAGTTGCTGTAGTTTTCCATTGACTTTAATCACAGGGCATAGTAGTACTAAGAGACACCCTAAGGGAGCACCTGTATTCCAGACATACTCTTCTTTTTTTTTTTTAATTGTACTTTAGATGAAGGTTTACAGAATAAATAGTTTCTCGTTAAACTACACATATGGTTTTATGACAATGGTTAACAACCCCACGAGGTGTCGACACTCTCCCTTCTCAACCTTGGGTTCCCTATTACCAGCTTTCCTGTCCCCTCCTGCCTTCTAGTCCTTGTCCTTGGACTGTTGTGCCCCATTTTATTTTATGGGGCTGTCTAATCTTTGGCCGAATGGTGAAGCTTGGAGGTGACTTCATTACTGAGCTAAAAGGGTGTCGGGGGGCCACACTCTTGGGGTTTCTCCAGTCTCTGTCAGACCAGTAAGTCTGGTCTTTTTTTGTGAGTTAGAATTTTAGTCTACATTTTTCTCCAGCTCTGTCTGGGACCCTCTGTTGTGATCCCTGTAGACATACTCTTCTTTACCTCCATTACATAATATCAATCTGATTTCCCCTTGGTAATCAGAATCTATCACACTGGCCAATATGGTAACTCCCTTCTTTGCCTATTGATCCAGAGTCACGAGGAGCCCGAAGTGGCCAGGTGACATTCTTAATTTCCAGTTCAATGGAATCAGTGTTGTGTCTCCAGGTGGGAGCATTCCTCTCTTTGGAACTAAGACCTCTAGACCCACAGAGCGTAGAGTCACAAGGACAGGAAGCAAAATTTTGCAAGTGGGTCACTAGGGGTAATAATGAATGATGCTACTCTTGATTCCACCCATTGATTCCTAGAACTGTGAATGCTGGCTATGGGAAAAACAGCATCATAGATAGGGAACATGGTAAGGCCAGTGAATTCCATGAGAATGGGCCCATTGCTACACTTCATTGGCTGTGAAGTGAATTCCTTGATCCAAGGCAGTTCTGTGTGGGATAGGATGATGGTGGATAAGGCATTCTGTAAGGCCATGGGTGGTAGTTTTAGCAGAAGCATTGCAAGCATGGTAGGCAAATCCATGGAGAGAAAGGCCACACTAAAACAATCCATTACACCGCAAGGCCACACCCCCAAGGAAAATCCCCTTCCATTAGATCACAAAATGGAGGATAATTACATAATACTGAGAATCTTGGCCTAACCAAGTTGACATTTAACATTAACCATTACAAGAGGTAACCACACATGTACATTTGTATGTGGACATTGGTTTTCACAGAGATTGCCCCCACTATTTGACTTCCAACTATTCTCACCTAGATCCACCTTGTTGTTAGTTGCTGTACAGTTGTAAAAATGGCGTAGAGGCAGTGTCTGACCTCCTCTAACTTTACAACGGGGGAAGGAGAATCAAGATCAACAGCCCAAGGATGATTCTTATGAGGCAGAGATCAGACATCTCTCTCCGCCATCTTTACCAATACTGACACCAGCCATCCCTCCCACAGCACTTCTCTGCTGGGTTCGATAATTCATTGCAATGGCCACACAGAACTCACAGACAATACTCATGATTATGAGATTTATTAGGGAAGTAACAGGTTACAGTTCAGGTTCAGGAACACTCAGGATACAGTGCTTCCATCAG